GGTACTTCCAAGGTGGATATTGTGGAATCGCAGCTGCCTCAATTGAACTTGGCATATAGTCTTCTAGTACCATAATGACTTGCGCAAAGCCAGATGATGGTCTATATTTGACAATGTCTACCAGGTGGTGTTTATACACTCTGGTTTTGTGTCGTAGATGAGCTCGCAGTGTTTCTTGCGTCCTTAATATTGCGGGAGATTTCGCACGAGATTCCGCCAGAGTTCCAGAGGTGGAGGTACATTTTGGCAATCCAAAGCAGGCACGAAGTGCTTGAGCTTGCGCGCGTTCAAGTTCTTTAAAACAAGACCGCGAGACACGTTGCATGACTGGCAAACTGTATCGCATAAGACCGACAAATAAAGCGTTATACAGAGCCATCAGCGCCGATACAGAGCATCCCCATCTGGTTCCACTGATCATCTTGATTATATGTGTAAACGAGGTGAGCTTTTTCTTTAACCGTTTAATATGGGGTCCCCACGTCATTTGCCTATCGAGAGTCACGCCCAAAAATGCATGTTCGGAGACATATGGGATTGGGGTACCTTCTAAGTTAATGGGGTATCTGTATGTTTGTTTCATTGTAAACGCCAACGCCGCAGACTTCTCTGGTGATATGTACAAGCCTCGGCTGCTAAGGTACCGTGCGGCAATGTTGAGGGCTTTTTGTAGCCTGGCTCTGTTTATATATAAAGACTTGCTCGATGACCAGAAACATATATCGTCAGCGTATAAAGATACATGCACAGAATCAGGGAGTACCTTCAGAAGGCCTATAAGGCATATGCTGAACAGCATTGGACTGAGTACCCCACCTTGGGGAACCCCCTGTTTGACCTCATGGAAGTCAGTGTTGCCATCTTGTGTTGATATATAGACTTTTCGTTCTTTAAGGTAGCTGGAAATCCATGTAAATAAGCGCCCTCCGAAACCAATCGCCTTCATGTCGGAAAGTATGGCCTCGTGTTCTACCGAATCGAAGGCTGCTTTTATGTCAACGAATACTGCGGTGGTGACCTGCTTGACTGATTTCATTTGCTCTATGCTAGACACTAGATCTATAACGTTGTCAATACTGCATCTGCCACGTCGGAAACCACTCATGGATGAAGGATAAATGCATCTATTTTCAAGATCCCACTCCATGCGTGCAAGCAGCATGCGTTCCATTATTTTGCTTATGCAGCTAGTTAATGCGATCGGGCGATATGAATTGATATTGAGCAGTGGTTTCCCTGGTTTGAGAATTGGTATTACGCGAGCGATTTTCCAATCTTGGGGTATAATGCCAGTCTCCCATGAGGTATTGAATAAAGTGAGTAGGGCCATTCTAGCAGTTTCCCCCAAGTGACGTAAGGCTGAGTAGCGTATGCCATCTGGACCTGGACAGGACTTAGTGTTGGATGTAGCAAGTGCTATGTCTAGTTCCTTTAAGTTGAAAGGGTCGTCCATAGAATTACATGCACTTACAGGGACGTGACCATCTGGGGCACCCTTGCTGTGATTGTTACCGGAGGGGCAGCTTGTAATCTTTATGCAGAACTCTTCTGCCACGACTGTTTCGGGTATTTGCCGTCTCAAAGAAATGGCTCTGAAGGGGTGAATTTGCTTTGGCCTTACGCTGAGGCTTCGCGTGATGTGCCATATTCGGGTAGTTGGCTTCCTGTGATCAAGGCCGGAACTCAGTGACCTCCAGCGTCTTCTTGAAAGTTTATCTAAGTGCCGCTGTACACGTTTCTGTGCTCGTCTGGAAGCCTGAATATCTTCAACGTCTTGTGTTTTTCTTGCTTTTCGTTCAGCCCTTCGACGGATGGCACGAAGACGCTCATATTCTCCATCAACCGTTGTCTGCGGGTTTGTCACGTTGAAATATTTTGTTGCTTCTGAAGTGGAAGATGTTATGGCATTCACAAAGGATTCTGTTCCAGTGAGCATAAAACTGACAGCTTCCATTTTTCTTGAAATATTTTCCAGTCGGTAGAAGGTACCGAGAAGCGTTGTTTGGAACAACGCAGACCTCTCACTGTGGTGTATGTCGGTGCATGGTCACTTCCGTGAGTTTCAATGTCAGCGAACCATGTAGTTTCTTCAGCAAGACCTGAAGATGCAAACGAAATATCTAAAGGGCTGTTCACTGATGCACCTTTAAAGAATGTAGGACTTCCATCATTTAGTATTACGAGATCATGGTTTAGCGTAATTCCAAGTAATGCCCTTCCTCGAGCATTATTCTTCGCACTTCCCCACAGTGTGTGGTGAGCATTAAAATCTCCTGTCAGAAGACGTGGTGGCGGGGTTTGTTGGAGAATAGCTTCAAGTCTCTTAGTGTCAAATTCTGCTCGAGGAGGTATATAACCAGTTATAACACTGAAGGAGATATCGCCTTTTTTTATAGTCACAGCAATATATTCATTTGTCCTATGGGACGAAATATTGTGCTCAATAAATGTGAGACTTTTCGAATGCCGAGTAATACTCTGCTAAGACCGGTTTCTCTGTGGGAGTGAAGAAGCTCATAACCAGATAATCTGATGTTAGGTCCTACTCTTGATTCCGAAATTGCTACTACAGGAAATTTGTGTTTGAAGAGGAATTGCCGAAAATTTGACAGCCTATTTCGAAAACCTCTTGCGTTCCATTGAAAGACAGTGGCCTCACTTCGTAATTTATCTAGTGACACCAGAGCATCACGAATGGAAGGACAGCATCAATCAACGTAATAAGCGCTTTGGCTATAGGCGAATCCCAAGAGCAAAGAAGATTGCGGATGACATTGACAACTGTCTGAATCTTGGCCTCAGACATTGGTGGTTGCTGTCGTGTAGACTTCTTTTCGGGTCGTTTGGTTTCTCCTTCTGATTTATCAGTGGATTTTGAAACTTGTGTGGGAAGAGCTGGAAATTCATCTTCACTGTTCCACTTGATTGGGGGATTACTCGTGTTTTTCTTCGCGTATTTCTGCAGGTGTCTCAGGTTGGACTGCTTGGATGATGAGGAGTCTTCGCTCGTTGGGAGCTCTTGAGCTGCAGTTGGTTTGTTTTCCTTTGACGCAGCCGTTTTAGGGGTCTCTTCTGCCAGTTGTTCTTTCGATGCGAGCAGCGCCGCTTTCGCGGACGCATAGCCAACTTTAGCTTGGCTCTTGTACTTGTATATCTTTTGTTCTCTTTGGTATGCCGGACAAAGATGAGATGTCGAGTCATGAGCTTTGCCGCAGTTCGTGCAGAGGGGGTTGTCTGCATTGCAGCCGGTGCGTTCATGTGGTCCTCCACAGCGTGTGCAACGTGACTCTTTCGTGCACGCGGTTCGAATGTGTCCAAACCCATTGCATTTCGAGCATTGGCGAGGTTTCTCTACAAAAGGTTCCATCCTGTATCTTGTATATCCAATCGTGATGTATTCCGGCAAAATGTCTGTGTTGAGGACAACCTTTACAACTTGGGACGTGCCTAGCCGACGAACGGAGATAACAGGCGCCGTAGCTCGTATAGCCACCTGAAGTTCCGTGTCGTTTATGTCTGACGGTACTCCGTATACTACTCCGATGGCCGATTCACGGGGAAAAGGCTCGTAGGCCTGGACAGGGATGCCTCCGATGGTGGTCAGTGCAAGCAAAGCTTTTGTCGCATCTCTGTTTCTCGTGTCTATAGCAAGTAGATTCAGCCTTCGGTTTGGCCTGACAAGGATGATTCCATCTGGGGCAGTCATCTCTAGCTTCTCGGTGATTTTCAGCGGATTGATTGTGGCGATTATTTTGGATGGATCTTTTGGCTTCAGTACCACTACAAGGTGGGGATGTTCTTGTTTCGTGTTTTTGACGGTCTTATTACTTGTCTCGGAGCTGCTGGAAGCTTTGCGTTTTTTGCGACTCTGGACCAGGTTATATGGGTCGGAATCGTCACCGGGATCGTCAGAGATGCTCTCGTAGTAGGAGATTGTGCTCGAAGCACTTGACGTACCCAAAGGCAGATCTTCCATTTCGACTGAAGGTATGTCCTGGCCGGAGGAAGGGCCGGCCTCGGCCATGGCAGATGAGCGATCGACTCAATTCGAAGAAACTGTTACGTTTGGCTGGCCAGGGAGGTGAGAACTTTGATTAAAAAGGAAAAATATAGAGACGAGCTCAGGATCAGCAACGATAAGTTCGACTTCTACAATAGATAGATATCAGTGGCCAGAAGGAACATTTCGTCCATCTTTTAAAATCATTGTTGCCAGGTATCGCAACAGCTCTATGTGAAATCACAAGGAGCGAGGCGATATCGCCCAAGTTTACCATGGCGGCGCATCTAAACTTCAGAAAAGTCGCGTTCTCAGATCGTAACGGTGGCCCAATGGCGCCCGCTCGGCATTAAGCCCCAAAATGGCGGCGCCCACAAGATACTCGAGGAAAAAAAGTGCCGGTACTCTCCAGCGTACGTTATTTAGTGTCCCAAGGTCGGAAGAAAGATCGTACGAAGGAAGGGTGAGTATTCCGAATATGGCGCTTCTGTCCTGCCTTCGCGACGTTTCTGGGCGAATATGCAAACATGCGAAAACGTCGCAGCATGCAAACAGCGATGTTTCTTTGGGTATGCCGTCAAGAACATGGAAGCAAAGACGAAACTGGAGAGCAGCAACTCTCGAGCGTTGGCGTCAATGCTATCACAAAAAAAAAAAAAAAAAAAAAAAAAAAAAACGCGAAAGAGTAGGAAAGACGGGGAAAAGAGAGCAGGCGCTAAGTTCGTTTTGCCAGTGTTTGTTGGTTGTTTTATTCTTCTAACAAAAACAAACAAACAAAAAAAAGTAGGAGACCCTAGATGTAAGCAATAACAGGCAATAACCTTGCAAGTGATAGTGATAGGCAACTACGAGTCCCTAGATGCAGGCAATAGCCTTGCAAGTGACACTTGGCCAGTTCCCAGTTCTTAGAATTCATTAAAGTTTTGGCAACAATATCGGCCCAGCGAGAACACCGATGGACGCCGTTCCGAGATGGCCGAGGAAATACATCAAAATGATCTCAGAGCAACTCTTTTTTACACAACGTCTCACCCGACTGCAACTTCGCGGATAGACCTTGAAGAAAAATATCAAACTTCGGTCGAATGGACCCAGGTCACCCCTTCATTAAATAAAAGTCGCCCTCCGTGCTTTTTTGGACGGATACCGAGGCTCTTTTGCGGCTCTATTGGCGACGTGCGCGATCGAAAGCGTCGCGGTGGTCGGCCTTCCACGATTGGCCGAATGCTCACTATGACGTCAGCAAAGGAGTTCTCATAGACGGAAATAAGGAGGACGTGAGAACTTCAATTATGACGGTGTTGACAGCGTTGGTTCAAGAGCGCTATGATTTCAAGCTTCCGCCATGCTCCTTGCAAACACCATCAAACTCGCTGTTCGCAAGGTAATGACGTCACGAAAGGTAACCATACGAGGGCGCCACCAAAATATCTCGCAGCTAATAACATCGGAATTTAAACGAAAGACTCGCGCGCCTTTATTCGTCGAGTTTTCAAGACGCTAATGACAAGTTCCTTCCACGAAATGTATCGTCACATCGGGCACGTCGAAATACCGAGGTCGGCATTCGCCGATGCAGTTTATCCGGCGGTGCTAACTACACTTTAACCCGAGGCACTTCCAGCCTAGAAAAAAAAAATATATTCCCTCATTATAGAGTTTGAAGAGACCGTGTCCGCTAAAGCTTCGCGTTGCCATGGGAGCTCGTGCCGTCAATTCAAAGCGTGGGTTGAGCATGCGCCCGCTAGGCCATACTAAAACTCTCTTATTTCTCACCCTACGTGATATTGGCATATGAACACAGTGAATTCGGCACAGCGGCTCAAAATTGCCGTGTTTTTTTTTTTTTTTTTTTTTTTTTTTTTTTTTTTTTTAATGGGTTTTAAATTTTGATTCAACGTTTATTCGATGGAGCGAAGAATTTGCGCCCATCATTCGGAGAACCGGCTACTTCGAACTCAAGAAAAATGGATAAGATGTTTCATGTATGAGCAACAATTATAAAATATGTACCCGATTATTAAATCGGCGAACTACTCACCCACGAATCGTCGGAATTAACAAATTTAAAGATCACGCGATAAAGGTATAAGTTACAGCGATATAAGTGATGCAACCAAATGTTTCGGACCTTGGCTCGACTTACAAAAACAGAAGCGTGCATCAACCTCACTAATTGAATTTTTTTTCAATGAAACTATAATAGTGATGAAATAATGTAGCATGAAAACGAAGATCTCGCTTCATTTTTAAATTGGTTTTTGATATCGCCGGAGACCGAACTTGAGAGCCAGGGTAACGATCACGAGCACGAGTGGTTCCGCCTCGCTCGATTCCCGACACTAAAATGATGCCTCTATGATGAGACGCAGGGACGTCCTTCCTGCACGAGATGGCGCTGTCCTCTGTGCACCAAACGTAAAGCAGAAGACGAGCAACACGCGGCGAAGCAGGCGCGCTGCAGAGCCAAGTCTCCGGTCAACCGAAACGGGTTTCCCGGGGCATGTCTTGTACAACTCGCGGCTGCTGCCCTTTGGTGACCCTCTTTTTTTTTTTTTTCACGTGCCGCTCGTGCGCTCCGGAGAGCGTGGGAACCAAAACACGACGACGCCGCTGTACTTGGAGGCTGGAGCGTGGTCGGGGGCGAAACCGGGGTAACACCCCCGAATATGTTTTCGTTAACCGCTGATACGTCGCCGTCTGAGGCTTCTTTTTGTATGACAGTTGTCATGTTGGTCGTACAAAACACTGTCTTCGGACATGTTCGAGCATATACATGAAGCAAATGGTGTCACGAGACCTATACTATATACAGATACAGGGTGTTTTGTTTCTTTAAGCTTTACAGATTTGTTTAAAAAAAGCCGTGAAAGCTTCCCTTATGCGGCTTGTGCAGGTGAGTTATACGGCCAGTGGGACATTATGTGAGTGGCTAATCTTTGTGATAAGTCGAGTAATTCATTAAAATTCGTTAACTTTTTTTAATTAGTGAAAATAAACTTATGGTTCCGATTAAAAAACTTACTGAGCGTCATCGAAAACCACTGAATCAACTCTTTTTAGAACGACTTGAAGCTCATGGGAAACTCGGGGACGTGCCAAAGTTACCACTGGTGAAGCAGGCGCAAAGCTAGCAGTGGCGGAACGCGATCATGATCTAATCAGCGGCTGCGATATGGCGCCCGTGCTATTTTTCCGTCTCTTATGAGAGCCTCAGCCTTGTACGTGCTCCACGAGTGGTAACTTTAGGGCACTACTGCGCTTCTCACGCGCTCAAAGTCTTTCTAAAAATGACTGACTTAGGGGTCTTGGACGACGCTCAGCGTGTTTCTAATTGGAACCATATGACTATTTTCACAAATTCAAAAGTTAATTAACAAATTTTACTTAATTATCCGACTGATCGTTACGATTAGCCCCCTATTCTATGTCCCCCTGGCCGTATAACTCACCTCCACAAACCGCATAAGTGAAGTTTTATCACTTTTTTTTCGAACAAATTTTAATTCGACCAGATTTATTATAAAAAAAAATCCATTAAAAGATGTACTAACACAGCTTGGGCAGGTGAGTTATACGGCCAGAAGAACATCATATAGGCGGCTAATCTTTGCGATAAGTCGGATAATTACCTGAACTTGCTTAATTAACTTTTTATTGGTAAAAATAATCATATGGTTTCAATTTGGAACATGCTGATCATAATCGAAAACCACTATATCAGTTAATTTTAGAACGACTTGAAGCTCATGGGGAAACTCGGGGGTGCACCAAAGTTACCACTCGCGAAGGACAAGGCGCTGCCTCCAGGGGCCCTAAACTCGTGAAGCACAAAGTTTGAGCCGAAAGTTCGCGGAGCGCGCCGATTGGACGACGGCGAAAAAAGCGCCAAGTCATCATCGTGATAAGCCAATCGGTGCGCTCCGTCAACTTCGGCCCCAGCTTTGCGCTTGACGAGTTTAGCGACCCAGTAGATCCTTCGTACTTCGCTTTGTGTGATGTCCTTCGGGGCTGCGACGAGGCGGGGCCTGATGGGTGGTGGCTAAAATGGACACCCACAAACTTTGGAATGTCAGATAACGGCAAGCTTTAAAACTTTGGTCTCTGGTCCGTACCGCGCTAGCGCTACATCTGGGCGGAAATTGAGCGTTCGACAATGCAACGTTACTGAGCGCTTGGCAATGCTATACAACCGGTTATTTCGTGCTCTGCTACAGCAAGAAGCCGTAATACCGACGTCCAAAAGCGAGCGTAGAGTGCAGCTGCTGAATAGGACCATAAATCGAGGCACGGTGCACTTCCACTCCGGTTCCAACAGCTCCTGCGCGCATGTTACCAGCAGTGCGCTCAAAGACAGGCCGACGACCGACGGGGTACTCCCCGAAGAAGGCGCGGCCGCTTCTATAAAAACAAAAATACACTGCAGGGTCGAAAGGAATAATGACGGGTTCCAAACTCGACCCAGATACCCGATGGAGCGGCGGTCGCAGTGTCGTTTAGCTCTTTCTCCTCAAAGTCAAAAGGGAATAAAATAAAGAAAAAGAGCAAACGATAACGGTCGGGAACTGTTTGTACAAACTACTCAACGAATAAAAGTGTAGTAAAAACAAAAAAAAAGCACGAAAAGGAACAAAACGGCCGAGCAAACAAGGTGCCGCCGACGGTAGTGGGTAAACCGAATAAACGCTCCCTCTGGCGTAGACACTGCCACCTACATCCAGCCTCCCGTCAACGGGCGTACGCACTACATGTGGTCGGAGTGCTGTTCGGTTCGATCCGATCCGTCTGGCTCCCGGAGAGTGTGCCGTCAACAGAACCAGGACATGTTACCGAGAAAGAAAAAAGTATTGACAAAAATATAATCTCGTACAGACCCTTTGCACGCGCGCCAGATAACAGCCGACATTGCTGAGCTTCTCTGGTCTTACTGAGATACTGAGTTACTGGAACGGGTGTTGACTCAGCAGCTCCTAGATGAGAAAGTCTAAGTGCTGAATCTTCCCGCGTCCCTAGAGGGGGCCACCGTAGGCCAGAGATTGGACACGACTACGACGTCAGCGTTCGGCTAGGAGTCGCGTCCAATCAGCGAGAACAGGAGTCCTAGTCGAGCGCCGACGCAATAGCCGTGTCCAATCCGTGGCCTACGGTGGCCTCTTTTAGTGACGCGGGAAGATTCAGCACTTGGGCTTTCTTACCTAGGAGGTGTTGGTTGATGAGCCTCCATAAAGGCCAATGCTGTGAAGGAGGACACGATTGACTCTAAGGTGGCTAGAACCTGGCCTGCTACGTAATAATGAAGGGAAGTAGACGGAATGAGAGGAAACACAAACTGAATGTCAGTTATGGCGGCACCCATGCACAGCTGCTGCAATGCGTTTAGAGAGTTAGGGATTGATAGCCTAGTTCGTCCACAAGCCCGACAAACACGTGACCAGATTAACCTTCCGCAATACCGCCTTCTCGAATAAGAACACAACAAAACAGGAGATGTTATGTTGCGGTTTGTTGGCGCGGCGCGCAATCCAAGCTTGAAACCAAAAGGTGTACATCAAGTCAGAGGCGTACAAGCAGTGCTCACGGCACTGACGCCTTCTTCCCCCGTTCTCTCTACTTTCCAAGTCATGGACATCTCAGCCGACCCAGCCCTCCCTGCCTGCACCCCTACCCTACACCTCGACGTAACCGCTGGTTGTAACACACTGTACAATGATGACTGCACGGCGTTCATTTGAAACCCATGGCACCGTCGCGTTCTCGAGCGTGCGCAGACATTTGCCCAATTTTCGCCGAACTTTCCTTCAAAAGTTCGGCATGCGCCAACCTCTGCCGAATCTGGAGTTCGGCAGATTCGATGCATCACTAGTTTCTTATGCTTCTTTTCTTTATACAATGCTTTATAATGTGTAAACTATGACGGAGGCTTACTCCCCAAAGTGCGCCCATCCGCCTGTGTCTGCATATCCCGTGGCAGGGAATGTTAGCACGACCGGCTTCGTTGTCGTTGGACGTCGAGTCGTCTAGTCACGTGACGTGAAGTCAGGTGACCACGTCGCGTG